ATTGCGCAATGTTGCGTAACTACATGCTGCATACATAAAGTGAGAGCGAGAGAAATCGCCGCTGCGGCCAATTATTGTTATTGTTCGTTAATTAATACACACAAGCGTACAAATTTAGGTGACTTTGTTGGCACCTATTCGCGTTGACTACTCGTATTATTTTATTATTTACACAATCGATTGAAAAACGAAAATTGTCGGTAATCATCCATCTGTGCATGCAAAGTTACGCAACTCACTCCTCCTCATCTTATCTAAAAAAAAAAAAGAAAATAGCAAACAAACAAACTTACCTGATTTAGACCTTTCCAATTAATTAATATTTTCGGTTTTACTTCGTATTTTCTATTTAAGCAGACCAGTTTCCAATTAGATTTATCTTTCTATTAACTGCTCTCAATATTAATTTGACTTGATTTGATTGATTTAACCGTGTGTATTTGCAGCATGCCGTCGTTTCCTGTTTTGTTTTGCGTGCGAACCGATTGATACTTGTTTATCCCGTTTAATTATGAACTAATGATTATGAAAAGAGTCCGCAATCAATTAACACTCTCTCTCTCACACATACACACACACATATGATATTATTGTTATTTGAACGTTTGTGTTTAATTGTCGTTATGTGTGTGTTTCGATAGTCCCGTGTGTTCGGCCCTGCACAAGGGAAAGCAGCTGATGAACGAGGTGATCTCTCTGCACGTCGACAAGCTGTTCACGCTTCTCTTCACCAGCTCCAAGTTCTTCCTCGACTTTCACGAAGGCCGCAAGACGACCGATCTCAAGCAGACTTTGTGGTCGATAGATGCAGAGAACATCAAGAGTCGCGTCATCAATTTGACCGTCGCCCTCAATCAACCGGTCGGACCGAAAACTGCACAGGTCACCGAAAAGCAGGTAAAAACAACAAACAACAAACAATTTAATTCATATCAATTTATTTATCATCTGTCAATCGTGGTCGGAATATTTACATGCTGATTTTGGAATTGACTTTGATCTCACGCACGGAGACGACCTGCTCTTTGCTATTGTTTGTCGATTTGCCGGTGGGAATGGAGTAGACGAACATTTTGTCGATGATCGCCGGTTTCGGGAAAGAGCTTTGCGCGTCGATCTTGTGCTGAGCGAGAGAGCCGTTCTTGTATGTGAAACGTGCGTAAAAGTAGGTGTCGCTGTTTCTGTACTCGTAGCCGACGAAATCGTCAAAGTAGAGGTTTCCAGATGCCTCACCTCGCTCGTCCGTGAAGACGTACAGTGTAATTGGGTCGTCGTCATGTGCGCGGTGGAATTGCGCGATTTGTCCTTTCTGAAGAGGATGCTGCCGGCGCGGTGCAGCACCACCGGCGGATCGCTCGAGTTCACCTGGACGGGATGCGTGTGTCCTCCGCGGAACAGCAATTGGCGCTCCGGTTCGTACCAATCGCCCTCCGGCACGTAAGCCTCGAGAACTTTCTGTTCTTCTCCAGGATGGGGATGACGAGGATGTCGCGACCCACCATGAACTCGGTGTCGATGTCGAGGGTCTTAGCGTCGTCGGAATAGTGGTAGGTGAGAGGTCGAATCACCGGATCACCGAACTTTTCGTGCTCGTACCAAATGGTGTACCATGTCGATAGGGTGGCGTATCTCTGTTTGATGGCTTTGCGGAATATCTCTTGAGTTTTGGCCGGGTACAAGTAGGGTTCGCGACGTGTGCTCTTTATGTCCGAGTGCGCCCTGAAGAACGGAAGCCAAGCACCAAGCTGATACCAGCGGATGAGCAGTTCCTCGTCAGGGTTCTCGACGAAACCGCCGACGTCTGCGCCGCAGAAGCTGATGCCCGCCAACGCTTCCGTCAGACACATGGGGATGCTGATGCGAAGGT